CGGAAGAGAAATGAAGATATTTTAAAAACTGGCCATGGCCTCACAATAAAATTTTCTAAAAATGTTCTCTGTTTCATGTATTTTTATTTGATATCTCAGGTATGAGCTGAAAATTGGGGGCTCATACAGTTTACGAGGTTATAAAATGCATAACTTGTCTCTATTTTCATACAAACATTCGAAATGTTTCGACAGCAAAGTAGTAACTGTTTCAGATCGAATGCACACGGACAGCACACCAGGGACAATGGCAGGGTACTGAAATAGAACGTCACTAAACAATTCTGTATAATTAATTTAGATCATGTCCATTTTCAACATAAAGCAGTCTTTTATTTTGTACAAAACATTTGGCAATATTTACACAATTGCGCTTTATAAACACGTGTTGCGTGTTGCGTATACGAGAAAGGTCAAAAGCGAGTACACTCCTTGGATGGCAAACAATATTAAGAAACAGATTTATCATCGAGACTTTCTTAAGAATAAAGCAATTAACACAGGATCTGAAAACATGTTTGTCGCATATAAAAGAGCCCGAAATGCGTTGAATAAACTTATTAAAGACACAAAAAGGAATTATTATACGAGTGTTATGCGAAAAATAATCCAAAGAATATGTGGAACACAATTAATAAATTAACAAATAAAAAATCTAAGACAACTACGATCACCAAGCTTAACATATCAAATGATAATGTTACTGAAGATCCAAATAAGATATCACACACTTTTAATACCTATTTCAAGACAATTGGAGAAAATTTAGCTAACGAACTACCAGATACTACCGATGCACCTGAATCATATGCTACTCCTAGTAATTCAACTTTTCAAATACAAAATGTGTCTGAGGTAGATGTATTTCAGTTGCTCATTACATTAAAGATATCCAAAGCTTGCGAACATGATAAAATACCTCCAAAGCTTTTGCAAGATTCGGCAGTAGTTATTGCTCCAATTTAAACTCATATTTTTAACCAGTCAATTAATACAGGTATTTTTCCAAATGGTTTAAAAACTGCAATAACATCTCCATTATATAAAAGTGGAAGCAAGACAGAATGTAGCAACTATAGACCTATTTCAGTTCTGTCAACTGTTGCCAAAATACTCGAGAAACTAATATCAGTGCAATTGTACGAGTATTTGGAAAATAATGCAATACTTGCCTCCCAGCAATCTGGTTTCAGGAAAAAATTTTCAGCGGAAACAGCAATGCTGGATGTAACTAATAAATGGTTGATAAACATGGATCGAAGATATTTAAACGGGGTAATATTCCTTGATTTAAATTAAAGAAAATTTTTGACTTCGTAGACCATGAAATTTTGTTAAAAAAGTTAATTCTTTACGGATGCAATGGACTGACATTAGATTGGTTTCGATCTTATCTTACAAATCGTACTCAATTGCAAATGTGTAGAATTGCTCAAACAGTGTCCTCCCCGGCTGTTATTACTTGTGGAGTTCCTCCGGGTCTAACTTGGGCCCATTACTTTTTCTTATTTATGTAAATGACCTTCCTAACTGTCTATCTTTCTCGAACGCATTATATATATATATATATATATATATATATATATATATATATATATATATATATATATATATATATATATATATATATATATATATTTGCCGATGATACAAACTTAACAACTAGCGGTATATCTGCCGAAGTTGTTCAAAGTCAATTGAATGAGGATCTAGAAAAAGTTCACCGGTGGTTGCTTGCAAATAAATTAACTCTAAATATCGGAAAAACTGAATATATGTTGATAAGCTATAGACAACGTTTAAATGATATCCAAACTCCTACAATTAGATTAGGTGATACAGAAGTTAACAGAGTAAGTGAAATAAAAACCTTGGGGGTTGTGGTAGATGACCAGCTTCTTTGGAAAAATCATGTCGACGCTACATTTGCCAAGGTTTCAAAAGGAATCGGTATGTTGAGACGAATGAAACCTTACGTACCGAAATTTACTTCAATGCATGCGTCTACAATGCCCTAATTCTGCCTCATTTTGACTATTGTAGCCTTGTCTGGGATACATGCAGTAATTATCTTATTGAAAATTTTACAAAAATTACAGAACAGGGCTGTAAGGGTCATTTCAGGCAAATCGTATGAGATTAGATCGTGTGAGATTTTATCAGAACTTGGTTGGCGGCCACTGGCAGAACGAATGAAATTCAAAAAGGCAACGTTCATGTATAATGTGAAAAACAATAATCTAAATGAGACTATGACAGATATTTTTGAAATTAGTAACAACGAATTTCATAATTTGCGAAGTAATGCCGTTAATTTCCATATTCCTCAGCCTAAAACCAATTTTTTGAAAAAAGTATTGGGGACCATTCATTATTTATGACTGGGAGTGGGCTGGCAAAATTCAATTAACAACCAAAAGCCCCACCCCCTGCATCACAACAAAATTCAATAACCCCCTTAACATGAATTCTAAAAAATAGCACCCCCACACACACACACACACACACACCAACCAATAACCACCACTACTACCGACAATATAATACCGTACAGTACTGTATGAAAATGAGCTCCTTAAACTTGAACTGCTGGAAGCAATTTCGGAACACAATGGGTTAACAAGAGACATTGTTAGATTTTTTGGTTAACCCATTAAGCTGCAGAGCGTCAAAGAGGCTAAAGTCATACCATTTTTTGCTACTAAAAGTGTAGTAAAAGTTGCTCAAAAAGGGAAAAGTTGCTTCAGCCGAAAAAATTGCTGCAAACGCAAAAAGTTGCTCAAAAGGTGCCGACCAGAATCGGGACATGCTTAGCAGAGCTTCCCCGTTGACGAGTAAAATCGGGTTAGGAGTGTATGGTTAGGAGTAGGGTTAGGGTTACAGTGCCATATGAAGCTCTTTTTGATTGGGGAGCTGAAAGCGAGGGCCATTTAGAGTCTCTGAAATGCCATTTGCTGGACTTTGGGGAAGATTTGACAGAATTCTGATGGTCAGAAAACAACATTTTAGTATGTCGAAATTTACAATTTAGTAGCACTAAATGGGCGAAGGCGTATTTAACTATATATTGAATAAGTTGCAGGAAAGTATCAGAAATATCTTAATTCTTTGCAGTTTGTCATGGATAATGTAGCCGCTTAAAATCAATGGGTTAGGAGAGGGTTCGGGTACTATACGTCAATGAACTAGCGCAAGGACCGCTAAACAGCTAGTAACTCGGACATTTGATTCGGGCTCGGATTTGAATCGGACTTGACACGGTAAACCGAAAAACTCCTCACTAAATTAAACCATGTATAAAATACCTAGTATAAACAAGTGTATATAGTATATGCCAAACATTTCCTGGACGTAATGTTGCTACATCGATTACT